CAACATATAGTAGACACTTTTATGCAGACGCACAATAGTTACACAGACTACCACACACATACATACTTCCCATTGCTGGTGTGGGAGAAAAAAAATATTTTGTGCATATCCTGGTTTGTGGAGCTCAGACAAAATGGGAAACTACGATTTGTTGTAAGTTAGACTATTCAGTTCTCATCCTTGTACTTGCAAACAAAATGGCGAAGGTGATGGGGATTATTTCTGAACTGAGATGATGGCCACCTTCCATTTCTTATGGCAGTCGGCAAATGTTTCATAATATCTACTCTTGGGCATGTAGACATGGGATGACACATACATTAAAATCAAGGAAGTTGCGTGCTTTGTTGAGCTTACCTCATCTGAGCCAGATCCAAAGATCAGCAGGTCAAAAGGTATTGCAGCAACCATGTCAATTAGGAACCAGCCTTTGAAGTAGTGAATTGCTATTCTCGCCGGGTCACTTACCACTTCTTCATTCTGGTTGACATATGTTGTTCGGAAGTTTATGAGAATGTCAATGATAAACATAATATCCACAATTAAGTCTACCATGTTCAAGGGATTGCAGGAATAGCCACACACTCGCCTCTTCTGTTCTTCGCTGTCATTGAGAAGGAAAGCTGCAGAGTAAGGGGTGAAGATGGCAGTGTAGATCACAAGCAGTAAAATGAGCCAGTCCCAGACTGCTTTGAAAGGACTGTAGTGCAATATTGTAAACTTGTTGATGCGAGGTGTTTGGAGCTTATATTCTGGTAGTACGTCAGCTCCCAAAGATAGGACCTTGGAAAGTAAAGGGAAGGAAAAACAACAACCAAACAATCTGGTGAGTAAAGTAGAAATTTAACAAACAAACCATGAAACAAATACATCTTATTTCTGAATAACATTTCTGAAAAGGCAATGCAAGATAATTGTGCTGAATTTAGAATGGGCAATGTGATTTTTAAATTATTATTATTACTGTTGTTATTATGTTATTACTAGTATCTATTTGACAGAGACACATCACTAAAATTCTTGAGGTTGAAAGTAAATGAGAATTACTAGGAAAGGACAAAAAATGACCGAACACTCTGTATAACTCTCCTGCTGTCTAAAAACCAACAACCACTTGGTACCTCAGAACCATTTCTGAAGTGATGGATGGATGGATAACCCTAGGCCAGAGATGGCTCCCGGAAACAGCCAAAAGCTAGTTGTCCCCCAAAAGGATCTTCTCGTATCGCCACCTCTGCTGCTTTCCGAGTGCTAACTCCTAACTCCCTTGGGAAACAAACATGCTCCTCTTGATTACATATTCCAATCGCCATCTTTTTTCTCTTAAGTATTAATAGCTTCTTTGCCTCTCCATGTGTGAGTCCTGTTGCCCACTTGCTGTACAAATGGAGACGGTTGTATGGCAGATGTTTGACTGCATGATTGTGGATAACTAGGGTGGAACAAGCTAGTGTGTGAGATATTGGGAACAAGACTAATCAAGACAGTCCCACTTCCTGTTCACAGTTGCTTCAGTGGCTTGGTCTACCCATAGCACTAACAATAATATTTTGTTATGGCATATTGAGCAATCAGAATGGCTTGGTTCATAAACTATACTATGCTATGATGAATAGCTAGTTTCACACCTTATACCATGATGCAAACGGCATGATCCTTATCGTTATATGTAAGCCTGAAGTTGAAACTCAAATACTTTGGCCACCTAATGAGAAGGAAGGACTCACTGGAGAAGAGCCTAATGCTGGGAAAGATTGAGGGCAATAGAAGAAGGGGACGACAGAGAATGAGGGGGCTGGATGGAGTCACTGAAGCAGTAGGCGTGAACTTAAATGGACTCCAGAAGATGGTAGAGGACAGGAAGGCCTGGAGGAACGTTGTCTATGGGGTTGTAATGGGTCGGACACGACTTTGCAATTAACAACAACAACAACAACAACAACAAAGCCAGGCCAAAATGTGGTGCATTTTATACATAGATAAGCTAGACCTGCAAGTACAAGACATTTTAATACCAGAGGCAATCTTCAGGGTCAAACCTTTCAGATGCCTCCCTCCCCCAGATTACCCTGCCATGTTAGCCATAATTTAAAATGTGAGGGCTACTTTTGAGGGGAAGCAAACCTGTTTTGGTGCCTGGGGCTCCTGCACACAAACTGGGAGGAACAAGAAGCCCATGGCAATAATAGCATGAGTATTATGAGCTCCCTGAACTGCAAGAATCTGGATGATCATTAGAGCAGGGGTCCCCAATCCCCGGTCTGTGGACCAGTACCGGCCCGCGGCATACCAGCAACTAGTCCGCACAAATAAGCAAAGTCCCATCTGCAAGATGCAGGCAGCGCACAAAACCACACACTCTCCGGTCCACGGAAAAACCTCTCTCCACGGAACCGGTCCCTGGTGCCCGAAAGGTTGGGGACCTCTGCATTAGAGAATTAGATTGCACTGTATTTCTGCCACCTAGTGGTCACTCTCAGTATGTTCTGAGACTGCGAGGCTGGCCTGCTTCCACCTGTTGCTCAGCTTTCACCCACCTTGTCACTTCCAAACACCTAGTCCTAGGTTCATCTTTTGATCCCCACAAAAATTATGGTAGACCATGACCAGCATTTTTTTTTATAACCAACTGGGATGTCTGTGGTTACAGGGGCAAAGATGGCCATCCCTCCAGCCTCGACAATATTTAGGCCATTGACCTTTCCCCATTCCATATATGGAAGCTGACTATAGGAGCTCAGCCTCATTGAGTTAAATGGGGTCCTTTAGAATACCAAACCTTCTCTGATCACTGAAGGAACTGGAATCAAAACGGTCCTAACAGGTCAAAAGAATCTATTTTGGGGGGGGATCCATTGCTTTCAACGGCTGCTAAACAACCAATTGCAAGTCAAGGACTACCTGTATTTTATGTAAAGATAATAAAAGTGACATATTCATATATTTTCAAAAAGGCTCTAAAGATTCATTTTTCTTTGATTATTTTTAAATGATAGCATATTGGATAATTGCTTTTACATCTTTTTTTTTAAAAAAAACTATGTTTAAGTAACATTTTTTTTTCAAAATTATTTGTTTTATGATGCATTTGTCGGGCACTTATGATCAGGTTATCTAAATACTATGAATAAATTTTATTAAAAGCAAATTTTACCAAGATAAAAAACATTATAGAAGCATAGAAGAAATAGAAAAAGTTCATAAAAGGGTCGAAGGAAAAAAAATCAAAGAATAATAAAAAAGCAGGAAAAAGAAAGGTAACGAAAGAAGCGATTCCTGATCTTTGCAGCAGTTTCAAACATAGTTGCCTTCTCCATCCTCCCATATATTGTAGCTGCCTTCTTCCCATAGATAAATCTTTAAAATCAATAAATCCCAAAATCAGCAATTCAATTTTGTCTATTTTCAGCAAAAAGTCTATAAAGCGAGTCAGTGTACCTAAATACTAAAAGGCTACATGCATAGAGAGTAGCGCAGGGTAGCTACCTATGATAGGAAAAACTAGGGGAAATGCACCAGTAAAAACCAAAGGAGATAGATTGATACATACATACCACATGTGCTGTTTGAAAATTTTAATTAAAAACAGAATACATTTTGTGATAATAGGTTAGATTATATTGACCTTCCACTTTGACACTCTTTCACAAGACCTGGATTTACCAACACTCTGGAGCCCAGGTCCAGAGTGTTGGTAAATCCAGGTCTTCAGGGTCTTGTGAAATAGTATCAAAGTGGAAGGTCAATATAATCTAACCTATTATGGGATGGAGCCCATCAAGTGGCCTATTTGATTAATTGTCACTAGGGGGTGGGGGTGGGATTATTGTTTTTATTGTTTGTATATATTTTTCCTTTTTACGACCCTCTAATCCTTTTTATCGGGTGGAGTTGGGGTGACTGAATGGAGCTGAGCGTTTACTGGCCGGATGCCCTTCCTGACGCCTATGCAGAGTTCACAGTAGACAATAATTCATTATGCCCAGAGAGAGAAATACCTGCCACTACCTAGGAATGAACTCATGGCCTCCTGATTATGAGGCAAGAGCTCCACCTCTAGGCCACCGTGCTGCTCGTTTTTATTGTTTGTATATTGAGTTTTTTATTTTTATAAGATGCCTTAGAACAGTGATGGCGAACCTTTTAGAGACTGAGTGCCCAAACTGCAACCCAAAACCCACTTATGTATCATCGGGTGCTGGGTGGGTGTGGCCCATTGGGTGGTCGTGGCTTCTATGGTATCGGCAGACTGGGTGGGACTAAAAAGTTCAATCAATCAATTCCAACTTTGCGAGATTTTTTTTTTCCTGCGAGTTGAAATTGATTGATTGAACCTTTTTTTATTTTGCACACGGCGGCGCAGGCCTAAAGCGAAAAGGTTTTATAAAACCCAGCTGAAGGCCTAGGACTGGGACGACAGTGCGCGTGCCCGCAGAGAGGGCTCTGAGTGCCGCCTCTGGCACGCGTGCCATAGGTTCGCCACCACGGCCTAAAGCACTCATATCCTTTGTAAAGGACAGACTTTGCTGCAGTAAGTTCATGTTTTGTTGTGGAATAAAGTGCCATTGGGCTGACACTGCACCGACAATATCATCCAACCTTGTTTTCTGGCCCACAAGAGATCTTTCTTTAGGTCAGAAGTAAGAAGGCTTCTGATAGTTGCAGGTTGATATTGGGTGACCAAGAACTGCAGCAGGTAGGGTGATGATGCAAAATGGAAAGACTTTTCTCTTTTTTCCCCCCTTGAGTTTCTTAGAGGTCTTTTTTTTCATGTTATGCATTATATTCAACCTGTATTATTGCTTTAAATATTTCAGTCTCTTCAAAATCTACTAGTTTTCAGCCACTGTGATCATAACTGGCTTACAGAAAGGTACTGAACGATTTTGGCTTCACAATGGGTTTTCTAGAATTGGAGGGGGGGGGAAAGGAAAAAGTGCCACTGTAATTACTTAAAAAAGACATTCTTTAAAAGCTGAAAAGCAGGTTGATCTTCTGCTGTCATTTTTGTTAAAGGTGAAGACTCCTTCGAATTGAACTCGACTCCTGGTGATTTTCATTTTTTGGCCACAATACAGAAGTTCTTCAATTGCCTCCTTCTGAAATGTTTTTGTGAGTTTTCAATCTAGCCTGATTCATTTTTAGTCTCCATCCCAGCAGTAACCAAGCACAACCCGGGCTGGCTTTTAAGTCCAGGTAGAGCTACTTGCTGCTGCCTCGTGCTGAGCTTACAATTTTCATTAGTGCCTGTTTTCTTTAGATCAGCTGATTGTCTTACAAAAATCAAGAGGAGCCATAATTATTTTCTACTTTGCCTCCACTAAAATCATCAAGACTCCTCAGCCAAGCCATTTTTTATGTTTCTGTCAAAAGAACATGATTAATAGCTGCACTCATCCTATCTCCTGACCTACAGGAAAACCTGATGTGCAAATTCAGTTGCTAAATGTGTAACAAATTCGGGTGCATAACTGAACATTAAGATAACAGTTACCTCCACCCACCCCCCAATTAAGGGAGGGGAGAACTTTAAGATTATATTAACTTTTAGAACAACAGTGCAATCTTTATTGCAGCCTTCTTTCAGTACAAAACATATTTGAATTTATATATAGAGGGTTGTTAACTGCAAAATATGCCCAACAGTATTTTATAGTAGCCATCTGCATTCACACACAAAATCACAAGCAAATCTGTTGTAAATTGAGTTCCAAAACAAAATAGTTCCAGCTATACTGAAAATACCACTAGATCCATGGTAGTAATACTGACTATATTTAAGA